ATTGTTGAGAAGCTTGCGGTACAGATAAAATAAGAAAACTGTTTTCTCTCATCCCATCTGCCATGAACAGGTTATAAGCATGCCAGAAAACATATTGGCATATACAGGCAGAAAAGCTCCTCATCTGTGAATTCTGAAATAATGAGAAATAAAGAAGCTGACAATAATAGTAATGAAATTAATAACAATAAAGAAAAGAGCTAACTGAGCAATTTTAAAATACGCTGAGGTACATCATACCGGTACATGGTAAACCCATATGCCATTGAAATGATAGTTAAACTAAACATCATGATGCATGAATTGCGTTTTATTTTAGAAGGCCTGCTTTACAAACGTTATCATGAACCAGAATTACCTTTGTTAAATGTTTGTCATCCTTTTCTGTTCTAGAGTTAAGCCACAACCCGCAGCAGATCCACATTTGTCCGCCTCTCTCACTTCTTTACACGTGTTCACTCCAATTTGTTTACGCAAACCCTATACATATGTAGGTCAACATATAATCTCCTGCATAAATGATATTAGATTACGTAAATCCAAACCCTTTCCTTAGGTAAGGCCTTTCAAAAAATGATAAATTCTCATTAATAATATCATACAAAAGTGGTCCAATATTTCAAATGCATATCCACAAGCACATGTTTGCCTTTTGCATATCACGCATCAAGAATAGGTGAAGGTCGTTCATAAAAAATACTCACTGAAACTAGTTCAAACTGGATGTGTGCGTTTCAGCATCGATTTCAGGTTAGTTGCAATTAAATGTGAATAAAATATGTAACCTTTAACGGTTTTTAGATTGAATTATTTCATAGTTTGGCATAGGTATCGAGAAGCGCCATTTTTTTCAAGATTTTTTGTTGAATGTTGGATTAGGGAACCGTGTGACCACACTAGAGAGTGTGCAAACTATTCCCGTCAAAATCATAAACTTTGGATGATATTTTAACTCATATCTAAAAATGAAAAAAATTCAGGCTTGCAACTTTTTTTCTCGCAATATAGTCCCACCTCCTACGAGAGTCATTTTGGGATCGATTTTTTTTCATAAATTCAAAATCGTGAACTTAATTCATTTAAATTTGTGGATGTTTCAGTAATCCTTTGAAATCATGAGTAAGAGCATAAACTTTTCTTATCATCTTTACAAAATCACAACTCAAAATGCCCTGGTTTGTTTTTAAAAGGATTTTATTTGCAAGGTACGGTTTTTCACGTCAGCCATCGCAGATGTCCAGAAACGGCGCTACTTCGTGGCGCGGACTCACTGAAAAGTTTCAAATAACCGCCATGACGTTACGTTTTTCAGCCAGTTGCCATATGACTGAGTATAAGTAACTAAATTTCTCAGCTTGCCAATGCAGCTCACTGATTATATAATGTTGGAATCTCCGGGGAGCACTAAAAGGCTGATTTCTCCGCTTCAGTTTATGGCTTCAAGACAACGATTTAGACCAGTGTCAAAATTAATTAGAACTCTCAACCGATGAAAGCTGGCATTCATTCATTAGATCTAAGGTTTGTCTGAAATCGTGTGTCTGGGATTTCATAACATCAGCTCTGTTTTCAACTTACACGTGCTTTAGCTAGGCTAGGGGGTCTCGTTGAACTGGAAACCAGGTTTATTTTGATATCTCTGCTAATTTAACAGATATCGCTAATTTGAGGCGCATTCTTGTTGATCCCAGTGAGGGCTCACAAGTCAAGCTGTCTACACATGTCCATTTGTAGTGGACTTCTAGTTTTTAAGGTGTAAAGATCATGTTGAGCACACCTATTAAACATTATATCTCATTACATAACGATTACATAATAAAATAAGGATATGATATGAAGAGCTGTTGAAATAAGCTTTCTATTGATATGTAACATGTTGGTATATCTTGGGCGGTTTAGAAGATAGCTACCCCTGTTAATTACATCCTTAATCAGTCAGGTAATGTAGTTACATTGAAGGCGGGTCTTATTAATCAGTCAGGTAATGTAGTTACATTGAAGGCGGGTCTTATTAATCAGTCAGGTAATGTAGTTACATTGAAGGCGGGTCTTATTAATCAGTCAGGTAATGTAGTTACACTGAAGGGAGATCTTATTGATCAGTCAGATGATGTGATCATGTTGAAGAGGGGAGGTCTTATTGATCAGTCAGGACTCAAGAACTCAAAAGCACTGCAAATTGCAACTGCATGCAAGCATAGCAATGGCTTGCTACATGCGATGATGATTGCACCCACCTGCTAACTTGATGCCTTAGCAAACACAACGCAATATTTGCTCGTCTGGAAGTACACTTATAACCTTGAACCCTACTATAGTTGGAACGCCACATGAAGTGAAGACTTATGTTCACAATCACACATAATGTAATTTTATTTGATTATGTAGCTAGTCAAGAGAATATTTTAATTTACAGGAATATCACAATTACAAATACTGATATTTGAAGTGTTTAACAACAATATAATGTCAAAAAACAATTCAATAAGGTATTACTATGGACTGATACTATTACTGATACATCGGTTAGTTGCGCTCAGTCTCAAAATAACACATTGTAGAAGGTCTACACAGATGCAGTGTTCCTGTAATTTATGCATCGTTTCATAAATGGATGGAAATATTAGCATGGCTATGCGTCCCAGCTGGCTATGCAGAAAATTTTTTAGTTATGAAGGCAAAATTAATGACACGGATATTCTGAAAAGTTGGGCTTGTGAGTCCGTGTCTTATCTGATAGTACAAACCAATATAATTCAGGATGAAGCACCAATTGTTTTCGATTTTGTCACTTCAAAAGTAGACCTTGCTCTCGGTTTGTTTTAGAGAATTCCCACCCTGCCGAATCAAGGTTAATCAATGTGAAACCTGTGGTTTGGGTATCTAGTAACTTGGTTTATACAACCATGGCCGTGGAAGCAAGTGGTCCATGTGTGAGGAAGCAAAGCAGATCATTCATCCCTGCAACTTTTGAAGTAAAATGTTTTGTCTGCTGGGCAGGAAAATCCAAAAACACTTTTACAAGTGGCTGTTTAGATTTCGAGCACAGTAGTCTTACGAGGCTATTAGTAATCGTAGCAGCACCTGATGCCATGATTATTTTAGTTTATTTAAACATCAAGTCATGGTAGAGCATCAGACAACTACACTGAACAAAAATATAAACGCACGAAAGAATATGTTGATTTATTTTCATGTATGGAACTAGAGTATATGGCCAACATTAACAGCATATTTTCCTCAACAAATAGACATCACTTTGAGAGCATTACAGGAAGTTTAAATGCATAGGCCAAGAGTTAGGGCATCAACTACACCATGGGGGTCAACATCCTGATTTCACATCAGACACTAATAACAAGTATGGCCAACATCAGCTTCACACAGAGCAGTACACTGGCACTGCATGGGCATCACTAAGTTGTCAATAGTGGCCTGAGGGACATTATCCCATTCCTTCTGGAGTGCTACTTGCAGTTGGAGAACATTTTCGGGAGCTGGAACATGATGGCAAAAAAGCTGACCCAGAACATCCGTCAGGTGTTCGATGGGCAACATATCGGGTGTGGTAACACATGGTCGGCGGATATGTGGGCGGTTCCTAATGCTACCAGTGTCTCTGAAGCATGTTCTCAGACGGCTGACAGTGGATTGATGCACATTCAGGCATGCTGCAACATCTGTTACCAACAAGCCAGCATTGAGCAATGCCGATGGCACGCTCCCTCATGATTTAAGACATCTGTGGCATGTTGACAAGTGACAGAAATGCACATTTTGGTGTGTCCTTTTATTGCCTAGACTGTAAGGAGTGTCTGTGTATTGGTCATGCAGATTGACCTTCACTCGGTCGTGCTCCATTAGTCTTATGGGTGGAAAAACTAAACCTTTAAGTATACTCACGGGGAGCATCCAAGTGAAGCCAGACCACCATACTTGATCAATACAATTCCATCAATTCACAAATAAACCGTCAACTTCGGCATATTTCATAATTATCCATTTTAACTGACCATTTTAGTTTCGTGCGTTTATGTTTTTGTTCAGTATCTTAGCAACTTTTTCACCAGTAAAAATAATGGTGAGAAACTGCAGTGAGTTCAGCTTTGCTGAGTACCACTGCCTGTTCAGACATAAAACTTAATGGTTTGGATATTTGCTGTTTTGCATTGAAAGAATTCATGTGACTGTCATTCCTTCTGATAACATATAAAATTGTCTCTTTATATATGTAATTTTATTATCATTTTACTGAATAAGCTAGATTAGAAAAATCAGCATTTAAGTTTGAAAATAAAATGTTGTTAATTTCCAAATAGCTAACTTACAGTTTTTTTTTTTTTTTTTTTTTCCGGGGAGGGGGTGCAAGTTTCTAAATAGGTCACATTAAAAATTTGACTAAAATGGCTGACATGTGGCAGGTAAAGTTGTCTAGAGAACTAACTGCCATATATTAGGTAGTCTGGAGAACTAACTGCCATGTATTAGGTAAAATTGTCTGGAGAACTAACTGCCATGTATTAGGTAAAGTTGTCTGGGACAGTGAGTGCTGTTTTTATTGCAGGCACAATGAGTGGCGGTGGAGGGCGTGTCAGTAAAGGCAGGATGGGCTCTGCACTGGTTGCAGACATAGAGCCAAGACAGCTGCAGGAGATGGAACGGGAGCTGGAGCAGGTAAACACAGCTGAACAACATGGAGAATTTCTCTCCCTCTCTGTAGTTATAAAGCTGTAGTCATATCTTCCTGTTCTTGTACAGTTATAAAGCTTTTGTCATGTTTTCCTGTTACGGTAATGTGCCAAGCATTTTGACCAGTCCAATCAATCCGACCAAAAAATTATATTATAAAATTAATTTTTCTGGGCTCAAACGTTTAGTCCATATGTCAAAATCATGCGACAGAATTTTTTTCTTGTTCCGATTGTTTGACCACATCGTCAGCACATTCAAGCCAGTGAAATGGACGCTGCATGCTTTGGCCCTTTGTCAATTGTTGTTCTTTCAATAGCTCTCATCAATGAGGAAGAAACAATTAATTGAAAATCTAATCTGGAAGCGAGATGAACCTGTAATTTCCTTTGTCACCGATGACAATAATAATGCTTATAGACATACAATTTGTGCTAATTTAGCAGACTTGCCCTCGCTGACTAATTCGTCACGCCTTGTAACTCGGGTGGGGGGCATTTTGAAGAATTAAAAAAAGGTCTGTTCTGGATGAAACCAAATATCGATAGTGGGTAAGATATGTCGTAAACACCTTCATATAGACCATGTATAGCGTTTGCTAGCAACAAAAGTTTGGGAAGAATAAACAATTTATTTTCAAGTTCAATTGAAATATATATGCAGATGGAGAAATGTTCTTGAAGTCAATACCGCAAGATCCTACATTTACTACAACTGACCGAAAGATCAGTGGGATCGACCGGCCAGACTTCCTGGCGCCAAATACCATGCCCTGTCAAAATCTGATGAATACGTAGCTATACACCTACATGGATAACTGATATGTCAACAATAAAAAATGACGTCTTCCTTATCTGTAAGAAAATACAGTAACTTACATGGCAGTAAAAAGCAGATCTTCACTGAGAGTCCCACTGGGTATTTACGTTACATGTGAGTCACTTTTTATTTCCCCAGATGCATGAAACGTTGATATTATTTCGGTAATCTGTGAAGAACTCCATTCCTGTGACCTTCCTCCCCCACAATGGGACTGTCTTCATTAACATGTGGTTTGCGCTAGGTATATGCTGGAGCAGACCAGATAAGACCAGTCTCTCATTTCTTGCTTTGCCCAATTCTCACGTCAAATTATAAATGCATCTGTTTTGTGAAAATTATGGCAATTAAATGCTTATTTTTTGTTTGGGTTGTATCAGTGGGGTTTTCAATATGCTTATGCACAGCGAGTGTATATAAATATATGTAAGAAAATCGGAGGAGTGCCAACAAGATATGTCTATTGGCACAGGTATGCTCCGTAGATCAGTATGTTTTAATATGACATGATTTTTAAATTAAATACTTAAAATTAATTTAAAGTTACACTGAATTCCGTTTGAGTACCAGTTGGTATTCTTTGATAGGGGCGATTGAATTTTCTTCGGAAATACGTACTTTCATGCCGAGCAAGCCTTGTGAGTTGAAAACAACTGATGTCAGACTGGCAAATATTATCTCAATTCGGTTGATTTCAGTTGGCATATTAAAGTTCAAATAGGGTGTACGTAGATCACATAACTGGTTTAAGTCCACATAAGCCACCGGTTTCAAATATAAGTGACCGGGCATTGTTTACAATACCTGTCTCCGAGGAAAAACTCGTCCCACCTGTGAAGCGCATCATGAAAATGATCGTAGGTGAGGGAAATAAATAGAAAGAAATTATGAATTGTCGTCTGTTTGAATCTCAAGTAATGTTAGCGCATGTTGTACACAGCAAAATAAGATTTCAAAAGGAGAATAAAACATGCTTGAAACAGGTGTTAGGTGAAAATTGCAGCTTATCTTGCGTGACACTTCAGGTAAAATGCAATACTTCTGGTAAGATGGACGTTTTGGCAGATGCCCTAAACAATCCGAGGATATCAAAGGTTTCCATTGCTATATTTTAGTCAATTCGACCAAAATGACATTTCCATGAAATTAATTAATCTTGGTCCAATTGTTTGGCAAATTACCGTATTTTAAAGTTATAAAGCTGTTGTCATGTCTTCCTATTATTGTAAAGTTATAAAGCTGTTGTAGTTTCTTTATATGAAAATAATATTGCATGCAGAGAAATGAACATGCACTTCTCTGTCCTAGACCTGTGCTGCGGCTGAAGACAGCCGGGTGACCAGAGACCGACTGGAGGAGTCTGTTTTGCAGATGGAGAAAGATCTTAAACAGATGAAACTGAATGTTGAGAAATTCAGGATGGAAGTGAAGGTAGAATCAGTGTGAAATATTTACTTTACAGTAACATCTCATGTGTACTGAACATGTGGTAATTACTATATAACAAGATATAAAGATGATGCTTTTCACAATTGACTAAATATCCTTTGGGGATACCAGCTGTTTACATAGGTCAATCAAACTCTGTGGGGAATCTTCCAGAGTGCAGTAAGCTTAACTGAATGATGTGCCTCCTCCTGGCATTGAAAAGAATACAGTATACCTGGTGTTAATACAATACACTGGAAACAAGAGGAGGTGTGTTAAGCTAATTTCATCAGTGAGAATTTCCATAGAGTTGGGTTGATCTATGTGGGCTTCTGGTGTCTATGGGAATGAGACCTTAGAAATATTATATTGATGATATAATAAAGAACATTCATTTTAAATGTAATTGAGTGATGGCTTTTACATTAAAGACAGTCCAAAGCCCAAAAATCCTTCAGTTATGTCATTTTGTTTTTATAGTCCCTGACAGAGCGAGAAGTTAGCCTTAAAGATCAGATAATTGCGCAGAAAGAAAGAGTAAAGGCAGCCGCTCCAGATGCCAAGCAGCTGAAGGCGATGGAGACTAGTGTGTCTGCATATAAAACAGGTAGTTTTTATACACAGGAGGGGAATATTTTGTCTAAGTTGGGAAAGATGGAAATATATATAGAAATAAGACAGTATTTTTTATTTCAATTGAAGTCTAATTAGATATTGAGTTTAAGTGCAGTGCCCTACAAATGATGCCGTATCTTCATTTTGGGGAGAAAAATACTGCTGTTGGTTTTGAAATTTTTCTCCAGCACCAAGTCAGCTATCAAACTTATCTAAATGGTAATATAAAGCTGGGTGAAAGTGCTACAAAAGGCTGTAACAATTTTTCTTACATGACTGAAAATGGTTTACCACTTAGTTATTTTTTTCTTTATTTACTAGCAAAGGGAACTTGCTCTCACAACAATGTATGAAAAAAAATGCATTGAGTAAAAATGTATCCTTTATGCAACAAATCTAGTTAAATATGGGTGGTCCCATCATCAAACTTTGCTGAAAGATCAAGAACAAAGAAAGCTGCTTCAGACTGAGGCAATTAATCAATGACTTTAACATGGGACATTTTGCTTATCTTTTCTTACATTTTATATCTGAGGATATTTTAATGTAAATTCACAAGTTGTTGCAAGAATTGCCTAAGCTGTCAATTTGTTATGAATGAGTCTTCAGTTTATTTTGGTAGCTATCAGCATTTCTTTAGATTTTAGATGGAGCATGCTTGGAATCTTGTCAAGTTCATATATATTTATATTTATTATTTTTTGTTTCCTGTCTTTCAGACTATGAAAAAGCTGCCTATTTTGCTTCCAAGGTGGAGATGGAGGTCCAAAGGTATGAGCAGCATTTGGGTCTATTCATTCTCTCTCTCTTCTCTCTTGTCCCTCACAAGGTGACTTAATTGGTCATTTGTCCTCTAGCTATATTTAGAACATACCTTGGCAAGATCTTTTTATCTCCTTACAAATGTATCCACATTTTTGCAATCTATACAATGTGGGGCTACAAGCTAGGACCATGTGACACACCTTACTAGTTAAGCACAGCTCTGGCAAAATTATGTCTTCAGCAGACTAGAATTTTATTGTGGATGTGCTGTGTTTGTGTCCAGGTTACATCAGGATATCATGGAGTATGGAGGAGAGGAGCTGAAGGCGCTAGACACCAAGCTGAAGAAGGTAAAGGGAGACATGGACAAGGCAACTGGAGCCATCACCAAGGCAAATGTGGCACTGAAAAATTCAGACAGGTAAACTGAACTCAACATAAGGAATTTTACAGATGATAAAACTCTTAATAGTAGCCTGTGTACAATTTTTGCACAGAAAAAATCTTTTTCCTGAGGTACGCAATATTTTTTCTCCAACCAACCAATATTTTACCTTTCTTGACACTCCTTAAGTGGCAATAATAAAGATTCCTTCACCTGCCCTTGAGTTTTTCAATTCAGCTGTCCTTTTGAGCACATTTATTTGTATTGGCTTTAGGGTTTTGTGTGATTCAAAACTGTCAAGCGTGTAATCACAAATTCATGTTTTCATTGTAATTTTCATCATCAGCATCACCATTTCAAGCTCTTGGTTTAATTTGGCTCTGAACTTTGCCACAAGCTCCTTGCTTGTAGGACCTGTCATCTAAATTGAATTATAGTGGGATATATAGAATAAAGTAGTTCCTAAGTATTATCTCCCAGCAATCTTTAATTTGGAGCTGGAGTAATGCTAAATTATGTTTTCAAAGCAATTTTTATGTACAGACACATGTGTCTGTACATATTGCCATCACCTGCGTCTGTCGTTGCCGTGCACTTTCATTGTAAACACGATAAGTGGAAGGCAGTTTTACTTTTTGGCTTTATTCTTACAGAGCTGATGAATATTCATAAAACGCAGGTCAAGTTCGAAAATCAGCATGATCAGGCCATTATTGTAGAAGTTATGCTGTTTTTTCACTTTTCAGCATATATGCAACCCTGCATAACACTGTAAACACAGGCCGATAGGCCTGTTGTCATGAAACTCACAGGAGTAATCTATCTTACTAAAACACAGGTCAAGTTCGAAAATCAGCATGGTTGGGCCACTATTTTAGTAGTTATGCTTTTTTTTTTTTTCACTTTTCAGCATATATACAATATTTTAAACACAATATAAGAAAAACAGATAGGCCAATTGTCATTAAACTCACAGGAGTGGTCAATCCTGCTAAAACGCAGGTTGAGTTCAAAAATCAGCATAATCGGGCCATTATTTTAGAAGTTATGCTGTTTTTTCACATTTCCTCAGATTCAATTCTTAGGCATGTTAACAGTTTCATTATTTAATTAATAAGATACGTAAAAGTGTTTGTTTGACATTTCCTGCATCTTTACAACATTGTTAGTTGATTTTGTAAAAATGATGGTAAACTTGTTATCGTGTATTGTGTAATAAAGTTTCAAAAATGGAAATAAACTCATTGCAGTTTGTCAGATTCAATCATTCCTTATGTTCAGAATCTCAGAATGGAAGAAATTGGACATTTAACACTGCTCTATTGATATTTTTCCCATGTCATCAATTTTTTTAGTTGATCATATAAAAATGGCAGTAAACTGTTAATTTTGTTTTATGTTAAAAATTGTAAAAAATGGGGAAAAAAACATTTCAGAACAGTGCTGTCTTGTTTATTATTGCATCAAAATGGACAAAATGACCTATTTTGCATCTTTTTTTTCTGCTTTTTGTCTGTACATTTGACAGCTTTGCTGCCTTGTTCTAACACTGGTGGATTATAGCAGCTTCTCTTACAAGGACAAAAATCCTATCACCTGTTAATTTGAAAAATGTTCCTAATTTGAGTCTTGTTTATCAGGAATATGAAGAAATGTGAGGCCAAACTCAAGTCTGTTGAAGAGGAGATTGAGGAGAACAAACACAGCATTGCTAACATGGAGCAGATGTTTAAGGCCATAGAAGAGGAGGCCACACAGGTCATGACACAGTTTGATGACATGAAGGTAGGGTTCATTGCAATATCACTGGGGCTCTGGTCAGTTCAGTGCCTTTGTCAGTGTGCAATGACATGACAAAAACATTCGAGCTGGCCACAAGAATGGGTAAAAATATTTGGAATGCACACAGAGTTTTTAGAATGTTTTTAGAATGCTCTTCGAATATCCTGGAATGCACAAAGAATTGTATTTCAGATGCCATTCTTAATCATTCCGCCTCTAGGGTGACGTGGATTTTATATCCCACCAGAATGTTTCGAATGTGCCTCGGATGAGCTGAAATATTAATGTTGCCAGCAATCGAACTACACTAGTATATTCTAAATATTCGAACTGCTTTTGAGAGCTAATACAGTCAAAGGTGCACTCATCATTCAAGCGCATTCTGAGTATTCCAACGGTACTTTTACAATAATTAAGGTCAATTTGAAATTTTTCCCCTAATGTGGTGCGAACTTTAAAAATTCTTCGTTCAGGCTCATTTTTCTTCATTCCTGCTGATTCAGAATAAGTGTGACGGGGGTATAACCTGTTGCTAAGTTATTGCAAGTTTGCTCCATAGTTCTCTTTTTACTCACCGTACTCTCCAAAGAGTCTACTGGAAAGGGAACTCTTGCATTAAAAGTGTCATGAATGTCCTAACTTTAATGTTTGGTGGTTGGAAACGCATAGGAACATCTGCATTGTGGTCATCTTAAAGGTTCTCCACCACCCCTCTCCACAGTTCTTGCCACAGTAAGATGGAACCTTTCGTAAATTGCATCATGACTCATGTATTCTGATAGATTCTGACTCTAATGAACTGGTTTGGTGGCTGTTGCTCTCTGCCCAGACGGATAGCAAGAAAGGTATCTGCCATATTGCATACAAAGACGACAGAAACAATAATTAAGCAACCTTTTATTTGTTAAAAGGGTTTGTGATTGGTCTGACCCTCTCATTAAATATCCATGGTAACAACCAAACAATGCCAAATGTGAGAACTAGTGATAACTTCTTGAAACAATTCTAAATGCTAACGAGAGGCTAACGAACCATTGCTTACTAATGAGAGCCTCGTGAAACGGGCCCCTGGTCTGCTTAGCACCTTGGCAGTGTTTTCCACCATTGTATTGTATTATAGGTGGAGGAGGTTGTATTGTGGTGTTAGACCTAGCAAAACTAGGGGGCATGCTCCCCCAGGAATTTTTTACTGAAAGGATGCAGTTTCCTGCATTTGTGCAGTTTTATGTACGTGTTGAATTTACACACAACAGACAAAAAAAAAAAAAAAAAAAATACAAGTTGAAATGGCATTTATGACAAATAATATACACATTTCAGTGTTCTCCACAACCTGTTTTTAGGTGGTGCAGTGCCACCTTATTTCGTCAATTAGAAATAAAGTACATAATCGTAACAAGCACAAGCAGAGACGGCACTTACTAGAACACTTTACTGTACCGTTCATCTTCCCGTAAAGGAAATTTATTACTGCTAAAACAATAATCAAAGGGAATGATTCCCATTTTTCCAAAAGTGAAAAACTACTATATGAAAATTTCAAAGATATCTGCTGACTGCTATGGACTATAACTACAATAGTACCTCAAAATGTAGATGTTAGCACGGCGTCGAAGCAGAGCTCGTCGACTTCCGTTTTTAATCGTGCGGGGATTCACCTTCAACAGACAAAATCACAGATACGTCCAAAACAACTGGTGAGATAAAGGCTTTGGAACCAGTAGCCAAATGTCGAAGGGACATTTATGCTCTTCGTTTATGTAAGTAAGCGTGGCTTTGGCATTAACCAGGGGAAGAAAGGTAAGTTTACTACACGATCTGTGGTTATAAAATTTCATATATTTCTTCGTATCTTGTCATTACTGTCAGAAATCTATACACAGGTAGAAGATAACATTAAAACGATAATTTTTGTAGTAATTGATGTTGTGTTTAATTCAGTATTTCTGTCGTAATGCTGATAGAAATGTGTGATGAAAAACGTGGTGTAATCACGTAGACATTTTTATCTAGATTTAGTTTTAGTCATGTGCTCTTGTTTGTGACAAGTAGTCATGCTTTGTGAAGCTTTGCAATAGGCTGAATCTGCCACTTGTTCTTATTAGTCCTGCCTTTATACCTTTTAGGGCGCTGGCAATCAGGTACACACAGTATGATGTAATAACTCTGTACATCGTCAAATGTGAGCACTGACATAATCCCCAGGTGTGATCTGTGATTGATATTTTAGAAGAATAAAAGAAGCTACATCGAGACTTTTGAATAGAATGTGCAGTAAAATATCAATCAAAGGTAAGTGTACTCACAGACATCTATATCAGAATGTCAACACAGGGGGGGGGGGGGGGGGGGGGGCCATGCGACAATATACATGTATATGTGTCCAACGGAAACTCGTTGCATCATTAAATTGTAGCGCTAATTGCATATAGTTAATGTTTAGAGGTGTGCTTTGTGTGTTGCTTATCTTGCAAAGTAAGTCTTTAGTTGTTATTATTGTATTTTCTTTCTTTTTTCGCTGCAGCTGGCATCAGATCATTACCAAGCAATCATAGACCTGGGCCCTGTAACTCAAAAGCATCGCATATTGTGAATAGCGATATCACATACAGGCTACAGTGTATTATATTGGGCGAGTTATGGAATCAAAATGGTTGTGCTTGGTTGCAATGCATGAAGCTTTCGAGTTACGAGGCCCTGAACAGCTTCATGGTGCGGGGACCACAGTAGTCTCAACCTGCCATATGAATAAAAATTTGCAGAATGTCTTGAGTTTTATCACTGTCCACACAGATGCCTTTCTTATGCTGACTCAGCTTTCTAAAAGGTGCCTGGTTTGCCACACATCAACTGAAGGTAAGAAAAAATCAGATTCATTTTTGAAGTAAAATTTGCTTTGTTATATTTTCATTACTACTAGTTATTAAGTGGATGATACTTGTTAGATAAATACTAGTTATATCATTTGCAATGACTACACAACTGGTTTAATAGATTACAGTGATTTGATATTTCAGTCTGTGAGAGAATGTTCTGAAATTTTCTGTGTTCCAAAAGATGAAGACCAGGCTGAGAAACACCAAGTCGGGATACTCTCCTGCCAGTTTCAGTTGAAGGTTTATCTCTGAAAGAACTTGATTGCACTGAAGCAGCAATGCTATGGTCTCAAATGAGGAAATAGAAAGATCTCTTTGAATGCTTAACATTGTCTGACATTTTATTTTATCTTTCTTGTAGATCTGCTACTCTCTTAGAAATTAATTTTTTAATATTGTTTCAGTATAGTGTTGAGTGCCTTAATGCATTAAAAAAATTGTTGTTTGTATATGCAGAGTGTAAACTGAGTCAAACATTGTTATTCAGATGTGTTTTTGTGACAGACCTGGATGATGTTATAGTAATTTAAAACTGACAAAGTTGCTCTATATTATGTTTGATAAGCAGAACAAATCTCCTTGATCTCATGTCACTGTAATCCTTCAAACCTTTTTAATACCCTGTTCAATGCCTTGTATTTCGGGTAAATCCAAAAATAAAAGTGGTGCAGTTGGAATCCTTCTTAGTCTGTCCCTGGGAGACTTGAGTCTAATATTTGTGATTAAATGACAAAACAAAAGGGATTTTCCCACACTTGCTACAATATTCCAATAAAATACATTTTTCTCTCTGCAGGTTCTTCAATAACATTTATTTCATGCAATTCAATCAGATGGATTAAATGTGTATTGCCATCTTAACCCCATAGAGCCCGTCACCGCATATGTGCGGTTCAAATATCGCTTACCCCAAAAGCCCAGAACCACATATGTGCGTATCTTGGAAAGATCGGCTTCTGTACTCTTTTGTATCGTGAGTCGTGAAATGATATATAGTTTAACATCCGGGTATGTTTCTTGTCTCTCATTGCCACCATTTTTAAAGGCGATAGAAATAAATATGAGCGAGAAAATGGCGATTTTCAAGACTTACTTGGAGAAAGTAAAATCAAGATGGCGGCTCCTCGCTACGGTAGGGACCTGCGAAGGGATACTGTTATTGAAATGATTGAAAACCCGGACTTTGATGAGAAGTTTTCGTGTGACAGTGACATAGACAGTGACGATGATATTCGATTATTTATGATATAAAGGACGATAGAAATATATATGAGCGAGAAATCTGCGATTTTCTAGACTTAGCTGGAGAAAGTAAAATCAAAATGGTGACTTCTCACTACGGAAGGGGCCTGCGAATGGATACTGTTATTGAAATGATTGAAAACTACGACACTGATAAGGTGTTTTCGAGCGACAGTGATATAGACAGTGGCGATGATATTTCTTTATTTATGATATAAGTTTTATAGATGTTTTTGTCATAGATGGTGTTGAAATTTGACTTCTATTCAGCTCTGGCCACGATGGTGAGCTGAAAAGCTGGCTCAAGTATATACCTGATAGCTAAACGAGCATAACTTGGAAATTTATGGAGTTAACTTGCTGAAATTTCCTGGATTGAAAGTTACTATAATTGACATCATCTCTGTGAATTTTCAGGCAAAAGTATGGAGAAATAAAAAATTAATGTGCATAAGATAAATCAACTTTGTTTTATTCCACCCACTACCAAATGAAAATGTAGTTTTTAACCGACCATAACTCTTGATACTGCGTGTTGAATTTAAATGTAATTCTATTTTCATTTAGCTTGAAATATTGGCTTTTTAAAAATGTATACTTTATATGGGTAATAAAGGCAAACAAATAAATGATGGCCAATTTACTGAGGTGACCCGGCTTTTCAAGGCTAGCTCACAGAATTAATTGGGCACAGCAGAATTTTATGGGTCAGCATTAACCGGATCCTATGGGGTTAAATTGGTAATTTTTGGTAACACCATGGTCTTTTAAAAAAAGACACTGCATAGGGTTCTCAACTTCTCTCTTAAAAATGGGCGGTGAAAATGATTTCCAAATAATTTAACTTCACTCTCACTTACTTTAAAATTTTGACTTCTAGAGAACCCTGCATTTAATGGTGATGATCATTTTAAATAAATTATTAAAATTTAATAAATTATTTGAGACACTTTTCTGTTATGATTGAAACAACTATATGGCACTTTCCTCTTTTTGTTTGTCACTTCATGTAATTTTAGTATGATTAGTATTTCTGTATTACTATTTAATATTTAGTAACTTATGCTGTTCATTTTGGGCTTTTGGTTAAATTGTTATCCACTATTCAACAGCATCTTTGCTGCTTCTTGCAAGTCTGCAAATGGTGATGGTCAGATCTTAATACTTAGATCTCAGAATATTTCACCTTTCCATATCTCACTATACAAGCCAAGACTGGGATTGAACATTCTGTATTACTCAAATTACATACTACTTGTTAAATAAAATAATCTTTTCTGACCAGGCCCAAAGTCAAGAGTGTGAAGATGGCTTGAAGGTGCTTAAGGCAGAGAGGGAGAAATTGGAAGAGGAGGAGACGCAAATAGAGAAGAACTGCATTGAAATCAGACATGAGATGGAGAAGTATGAGACTGTTTTAAAGGAGAACAGAGATAAGATAAGGCACTGGGAGAAAGCTGTGAGTTGGAATTTGCTGCTAGAAATCTTCCATTATTGCCCTTAGTTCTCCTCTGTTGCTATAGTACAAAATTAATAAATAACATCCCTGCTACAAAATATAAAATAACTAAATATACAAAATGTATAAGCTATCAAGCACAGACCTGATCTTTCATTAATTAGTACCACCAGCGTGTATGCTGGCGGAACTCATGGTTTTAGCGCCGGCCCTTAGTTACTATTGAAGTTGACTAGGAGGTCATATACTGGCAGTCTTCCTGTGACCTTGAAATAGATCTTTGATCTATGTTTCACCAAGAAACTCAACTGATAAATTTCAGGGCTCTTATATTTACTTTTGAACTGGGATGGGAAGTCCTTTATTCTCAATCGCACTGCAACCTTGGATTTGACCTTTTATGTTTTCCCATGATTTTGTTGTAAATTGTTATTTTCTACAAACGAAAAATTGAGACTTATTGTTTACTGCATTTTGTAGAGCTTGTCAAGCACAACACTGGAGGTGGTGTCTCCCTCTAGTTTACATGCTGCGTTCATATATTTATCTAAGAGCACATTTTATTTTTTTATGTACAGACATAGATGTGTCTGGGATTGCTGTTCCTGCATTCACCATTGTTGCTGTGCACTTTAAGTGATAAAACTTTAAGTGGGAAACAGTTTTACTCTTTGTCTTCAAACTTATGGAACTGATGAACATTGATATAGTACAGGTTGAGTTCATAAATCAGCATGATTGGGCCATTTTTATGTACAGACACAGATGTGTCTGTACATATAGCCATCATCTGCGTCTGTCGTCGCTGTCGTCGCCGTCGTCGCCGTCGCCGTGCACTTTTACCGATAACACGATAAGTGGAAAACTATTTTACCTTTTGACTTGAAACTTGCAGAACTGATGAATATTCATAATACGCAGGTCAAGTTCGAAAATCAGCATGATCGGGTCACTTTTACGGAATTTATGCTGTTTTTTCACTTTTTTCAGCATATATGCAGCACCAATAACACGATAAGTGGAAAACCATTTTACCTTTTGACTTGAAACTTACAGAACTGATGAATATTCATAATACGCAGGTCAAGTTCGAAAATCAGCATGATCGGGTCACTTTTACGGAATTTATGCTGTTTTTTCACTTTTTTCAGCATATATGCAGCACCAATAACACGATAAGTGGAAAACCATTTTACCTTTTG